AGGATCCCCAATTGATTTGATTTGTATGGGAAGGGCATTTCCATCCAAAAATTTAAAACTTTTTACCCTGGGGGGTTTTACGAAGAAATGTTGTTTGGGGGAAAAAAGTATGAAAAAAAATTGGGCTGGGGCTAAGTTATATGGATAGTTCATTTTTTGTAATTTTCCCTTGTTTATATGCATATTTATTTGCGGAAAGTCTCCACATGTATAATATAGGCACATTCGCATAGGCTGCTGTGATAACCTTGACAGACGAAAATAAAAAAGATCACAAGAAATAATAAAATGTTGGTCACATCATATCAACTTTTTTCTTGTCCTTAGGATGGCAATGCGTTTGGTACGGCTGGACCTGGACCGGGATGCAAACCCATACCTGATTATTAGCCTTCGGGTCAAAAATTTAGACCCATACCTATACTCGTGGTAAACCCGAAGTAGGGTCTACCCGTCGGTTCCCAGTTCAGATTGGGTCCGTTGCCACCCCTACTTGTCATCGGTAGCTTATACCAAGGACAATCCCATCCAGTAATATATAAGGATATTTATAGATATTTGATACTTTTTCAAACATTTCTTAATACTAAAGACAATAATAAGTGTCAGAAGTTAAAATTTTGTATTAATAAAGTCCCCACCAAACTTCAGGCTAATGAGTTTCCTAATTTGGTCTGACCTGAACTCTTAGCCAAATTTTAGGTTTATGAGACTACAAAAATTTTGAATATTGTTGAATGTGATTGGTCCCCACCAGTGCATGAACAAATAAATATTTTATTTCAAATATAGAAAATCCCAAAGTTGGCTTATGCCGGAGGCAAATCATTTTTTTGAAACTACCCAATGGTTTCAGCCTTGTAGAAAATATTGTTTTCAATACATGGTAATAAGAATTTTGTAAAATGACATATTTTTGAAAAGAGGCGTAGTTTTTTTGTCAAGGTTTAAAACCTAGAATAAGTGATTTGGATTGCCCATCTGGAAAACCAGTTGGGAACGACGGAATGACGGCTCGGATCAGCAATCCGGCCGAGTGAATTAGCCAATAATACGATAAAGAAATAAGGGAACCAATTTCTTAAAAAAATAATAAAAATAAGTGGAACCGGTTCTTTGAGGTCGTTTCTATCAGAGAATAAGAATCGGCCGGTTCCCAAATTTTACCAGAACTAGTCCGGACCCACTGAATCTTGATTCAAACCAACCAATTCCAATCAAATTCGATGTTTTTTAAAACATTGATTTTGATTGATTGTCAAGGTTTAAAACCTAGAATAAGTGATTTGGATTGCCCATCTGGAAAACCAGTTGGGAGCGACGGAATGACGGCTCGTATCAGCAATCCGGCCGAGTGAATTAGCCAATAATACGATAAAGAAATAAGAGAACCAATTTCTTCAAAAAATAATAAAAATAAAAGTGGAACTGGTTCTTTGAGGTCGTTTCTATCAGAGAATAAGAATCGGCCAGTTCCCAAATTTTACCAGAACTAGTCCGGACCCACTGAATTTTGGTTCAAACTAACCAATTCCAGTCAAATTCGATGTTTTTTAAAACATTGATTTTGATTGATAGAACTTGTTCCTAATTGACCTAAAGATGTGCTAATCCATAAAAATTGATTGGTAGAACTTGTTCCGTACTTGGTCAAGAAAGGTTTGGTAGAACTTGTTCCTTACTTGGTTAAGAAAGGTTATGGAGTGACTCTTATTGAAAATATTTGCGTAATTTTGAATAGAGGTCAACGCCATAAAAATTGAAAAAAGTTTAGATAAAACCAAGGCTCTAAACCATCAAATTAGAGCACACCTCAAAAATTTTGCTAGAAAAGGTTGTTTTAATACGCAAATATCCTCAAATTGATCATTTCGGCATCAAAATGTATGGACATAAGAAAAAAATAGATTTTAAGTTTTAAAAATAGTGCATCCTGGAATGCACTTTTGGACCGTCAATATTCAAGATTTTCAAGTTTTCATAGATTTACTCGATCTACACTATTTTTTAAACTTGAAATTTTATAATTAGAGATAAAAATATATTTCAAGGCTATCACAAAGACTTCCAACATTGAAACCACATTTCTCGACACTATTAGGAGGTGAGCTGTACTTTGATTGTTTAGAGCATCGGCTCTTTACAAACCGCACCCGAAAAATTTATGGAGCGACTTCTATTAAAAAACATGTCATTTTCTTAAATTATATCGAATAATACCAATTGCCTTTTGTCCTTATCCAATAGATGAGATGACCTATAACCTCGGCCACATTGAAACCTATCACTATCTCTAGATGTGACCCTCCCCCTCATCTTTGGTCAATAATATCACAAAATCCCTTTCAAAAATAACTTAAATGTCACAATCTTCTGAAAAAACGAATAACGGCGTCATATATTATGTAATATTTGAATACATATTCAGGTATTAGTAAATTGTTGTATTTTGTCTTTTAGGTTTTCAATTATGAAAGCATAGGTGGAATCTTCACTGAACAAAATACTGGTTACAATTTTAATATGAAGAAATAGTTATAAGTTTGAGTTTTGTACAATATGACTTGTTTTTCCTTTTATTTCAAGCGGCCTACTTATCTCACCAGCATTACTTCAAACATATCAATGTAAAATTCTCTTCTTAATTGGTAATTCACTGCAGTAATATTATTTTATTTTTTAGTAATTCAGTAGGGATGACGAGCGCTAGCCATTTTTTAAAATCGTTAGTGGTTTTTTAATACGTTAGTTGAGAATGGAAGCTTTGACCTTAGATGGAGTTCAAATAATGCTACTATCTAAAAAATGATAGTAATAAAATTAAAATAATATTTTGTGCTTTTGTTTTCCGTTTTTACTTATCATAGTCTTGTTTTTGGTATTTTGCAATCCATTAGAAACTTTCTTTTCACATGGGTGCCTCATACTAACCACGTCATCCTAATACTAGACTGCTCAAATTTCTCCAGTGCATTTCACTCGAGCATTTAGGGCGTGTTTGACTTCCTACAAAAAATGTTTCTTGAAAATTTAGGGAGAGGCAGACAAATAAGGGTATGTGGGTGTGGGGTTGGGGCTTTGGTAAGTTAGTAGGGTAGGTGCTTCAACATAACGTCTTAGGTTCCATTCCCACAGCTAACGTTTCAAAAAAAATAAAAAGAAAAAAAATCCTCTTCTCATTTATGCTTTAACAGATATGCAACTTATTCCTATAGGTTGCTAAGGTGCGCACTCCTCCCCCCATATACATATATATAAGGGAAAATTTTTCATGCGGGCGGACCATATTTCTACATATGCGGTCCAGAAAGTGTAAAGCATCCATTTTAAAGACAGATGCAAGTAGGTATTACATCTAAAAACAATGGAAATTAATGATCCAAATGTTTTCTGACTGGACTTAATATTTTTAATTTTTTAAATTTATTTATTTTTTCATATTCATGATCTTCATGTTAGAGATTACATCTCCTTAAAAAAAAAAAATTAAGTCTTAAAATCCATCTCAAAAATAAATTTAGAGATTACATCTCCTTAAAAAAAAAAAATTAAGTCTTAAAATCCATCTCAAAAATAAATTTATCAAGAGGCCTGCATTTCTACATTTGCAGGCTTGACTGCATAGAAACCGGGTCCTATATATAAAGCAGACTTGTGAAACTAGAAAAGATCCAAAAATCATTGGTTGTCGGTTGTTTGTAAAATGTTATTAACATTATTGTTGCTCGCTCTCCTTACTTTGGACATTAGCAATGGTACCTGCACAAGGCACCAAGTGTTTTTCTTCGAGGTGTAGAGTGTCGGTCCAACCAAATATAATACTTGAAACCAGATACGAAAACTTCCCCTAAGTATAAAAAACCCAAGCTCTAGCTTAAGAAAATTGACTTTGGAAAAGAGCAAAAAGATCGACCGCCCAGTTCTATGATAGAACAGGGCGAGTCCGTCAATATCAGACCTATTTCATGTTCTGACTAAAAATTGGGGTGATTTCTGACGATTCATGATCTAGATCAACGATTGTCAATTCAAAATGGTGAGTTTTGAAGCACTAGTCTTAGTTGAACATTTGGGTGCAAGATTTTATTGCCATTACCAATGAAAATAGGAAAAGTGCATAATATACCCCTAACGTGTATGCAAACATCTGTTGGATGACAAGCTTTCCAATATGAACATGGGGAAGAATATTATGATTTGTAAGGTCACCAAAAACATTGGGTTAGAGCATCATTACCATTGAATCAACAGATGGAAGTTGATGGAAACATAATGTGACCTACCATTGATTTGGGACGACAATTCGTGCTTTGCTGGATAGGTCCCACTCCCTTTCCATTACCGTTCTTCCAGTGATTGGACGGTGATGATGCTTTTGACACCAGCTTCTCCATACAAAATTAGAAGGCAGCTTTTTTATGTGCCTTACAGTTTTAGTAGCAGCACAGGTCCATGCAATTCACCCCATCCTTAGGATTAATTTTTGAAGGAAAATCGCAAGGAATAAATAAATCAAAAGTATTATTTTAAAAAATGTATTTATTTTTCTATATTCATGATCACAGTGATTGAAACCCTATGCGGCCTATGCGCACCAAGACCTCACCCGTTACAAATAGAGGAGCAAGGTCTAACGGTAACAATTTACCCGTTATGGACGACAAAGATATGGATGATTTGGACATTTCCCCTGATTATTCGCACTTAATTATTAATACACAGGGGGACAAAAAGGGATTAATACACAGGGGGACAAAAAGGGATTAAACATTTGACGGGGATATTTTTGCAACAAAAATAGAATTGGAAGATGAACGGCCGAGATTCACGACACGTAAAGTCGGAGTCCACTATGGACACGCTTTATACTCTTTTGAAAAGCGGCTCAAATATCGGCTCTGAGATTTAATTTAATTTTATCTTAAAATAAAAATAGTGAAGCGTCATGAGTCAAGATATATCCCATGTCTCATTCCACGCTGTAAAGACCAGATTCCGTTTCCTTTCTCTTCTCTTTTTTTCCGAAAATTTTCCCTCTTATTGATATATTATAAAAACTTTTAAACTTTAAATTGCTCTCCTTCCATTATTACTCAGAGTTCGAATTTCTCTCTCTCTCTCTCTATAACTGAAAAGACAGGGCTCCAATATTTTCACTGGTTATTCCGTCTCTCTCTCTATCTCTCTCTCCTGGTCTTGAGAGTGGTAGAATAATGTGGAAATCGTTGGTGAATTCAGAGAATAATATCACAAATGTTAGAATTCAGTACCATTTTGTCACATTTTTTGGATAAACTGCGTGATTTTGAGGTTAAGTTTTTTTTTTTTTTTTTGAGCTAAGTTTTTCTTCTTATTATTCCTTTTTTGAAAAGATTTGTTTGCCATTTTATATATTGAAATTACGAGATAATTCGTGGTGGAAGTGTTGACTTAACGCTTTTAGTTCATTTGAAATTCTTCTGTATTTGTTTTCTCTTTAGGCTACTTTTTACTGCATTCTGCAACTAGTTCTTAGAAACCGTTGTGGACTGGTAGCTCAGAGATCGTCCGCTTTATGTTGCAACATTTTAATTTTGGGTATTTGAATATTAGGTTCATGGATTATTATTGTATTTTGTTGGGAATTGATGCTGTCCATCTGTGTTCTACTATTGTTTAGTGGTGTTTTTCACCAAAGATCTAAGATTTTTCTTTTGATATCTGTCTTTCCTTTTCTAAAATTCTTTTCTTTCTTGAACTTTTTTTTCCTCCTGTAAATACTTCTTGATCTTTGTAACATGTGTTTTTCCATATGAATGAGACAACCTCCTCATATGTAGGGTTTCAATTGGTTAAACTTGATTTACTTGAATGGGCTGTCTAGATCTGTTTCGGTTTAGTGAATATTCTTGATGGTAACACATATTTTAGTTCGCCTTAGTTACTCTGATAGTTTCTTCTACTGGGATACTGATTCTGTTTGTTTTTACTTAGGTGCTAGCTTTTAGTTAAAAGGAAATCTCAAAGTTTAAACGAATGTTGGTGAAATTGGCTGATTAATACGAGCATGGGAAATTTGAGTATCATCATCACAGTCTTGATCGGAGCCCTTTTTCTGCCAAGCATTCCATTCTCCCATTGCTATACTGATGTTCAAGATGGTAAAATTTTTGCACTTTGCTTAATGCGTTTGTTTGTATGTCTCATTTGACAATTATTGGTTTCCCCAAATTCCAGTCAGAAACATAGTATTTGGTGGGATATATGATACACCTGTGTGTGAGTTCTATTTTAGCTTTACCCTTTGTTTTGACCACAATTAGAAGGATCTGCTATTTGAATCTTACTGTTTCCAATCTATATGTTGCGAGGACTTTTTGCTTCCTAAGTAGACATAGTTTTCTGGTTTTTTTGTTCAAAATGTTAAACATGAAGATGGTTTCCCTAATTTTTTTTTTCTTGCCTCTCCTTTTCAGTATTTGCAATTAACAGCTTATATGCGGCTCTGGACTCACCTCCAATTCCTGGATGGGTTGCTCTTGGAGGAGATCCCTGTGGTGACATGTGGCAGGGTGTCCAATGTACTTTTGCTAACATTACTGCAATGTATGTTTATTTTTTTCTAATTTTATATTCATGCTTTCATCTTGTAATCAAATTATTTTGCTTTAACTGCATTGAAATATGAGTTTCTATTATTCTAAGATTTCATATTTGTATTTAACTTTTGGTGTACTAGTGTACTCAATGCCGCGAATTTAGGGGGACAGCTTGGTGCGGCATTAGGAAACTTCACATCTCTAATAACAATGTAAGTATCAAGTCTATAGTGTGAGATTCCTTTTTGATTTCTCTGAACTCTTCCTTCATATATTTCCTCTCAGTTAACATATGACGATGTGAAACCAAACCTTTTAATAGTGGATATCATCTCTGGTACAATGTTCTTCATCTTGTCTGTGCATATTTCTCATTGATTTTTTACATTTTGGTGATTTTTATTTTTGCTTTATGGCAGTAACCTGAGCAACAATCATATTGGGGCCACTATCCCGGACAGTTTACCCCCTCACTTGCAACAGCTGTATGTTTTGATTTTCTTGCTTTGGATGGAATCCCCTTAAGGCAGTTTAGTAAAGATTAAAGTCTTTTTTTTGCTTAACTAGGTCCTCTCATGTAGCTGTCTTCTTACATTTCTAATTTTTGGTTTTTCGTACCAGATTTCTTTCAGATAATCAGTTCATAGGGACTATACCGAGTTCCTTATCAGAACTATCTCTTTTGTTAGACATGTAAGTGGGCAAATAAATATTTCATTTATTATGGTGCTCATATTTAGCAGATTGCCAAGGCTGAGAATATCTTAGCTTAGATTGTCTTCGTTTCTTCTAATTCCTCAGGTCACTCAACGACAATCTCTTAACAGGACCAATTCCAGATGCCTTTCAGGCCCTTTCGAGTATTATTAATCTGTGAGTCATGGATGAATTTCAAGAACAGTGAGTTTATATAGTTGGAAGTTTCTCTGTACTAGCTAATTCCATATTTATTGTCAAACCTGAATTGGTACAGGGATCTGTCTAATAATAATATAACTGGACAGTTGCCAGCCTCCATGCAAGACCTGTCTTCTTTGACTACACTGTGTGTTTCTTGATCTCTATAATTTTTTCCTGGCTCTATTTGTTTTTCTTTACATTTTCCAGTAATTTATACTGTGGTTTTGCTTGCAGGCACCTGCAAAATAATCAATTGTCTGGAATTCTTGATGTCCTGGAAAATCTTCCTCTAAAAAATTTGTAATTGCCTCATGCCATTTTATATTCTTGTTTAGCTTCTGTTGCCTTTCAAAATTCTTGTTCATGATGGTTATTTTATATTTTCTGAAATCAGTCCATGTAGATGAATATAAGCTAGTTCAAATGAAACAAGTTCCATGAAGCGATAAAAGGCACTAGGAAACACAATAGCTCTATGCCATTTATTGAACCGGATGGTAGCTTGGACCTTCAGTATCCGATTGTCTTTGGTTGCAGGACTAATGGGTTTTGGGGATTTAACAAACAAAGTGGAACTTAGATCAGTTGGCTGATAGCGGTCTGAGTATGAACAATTTGGTTTTGCAGAAATAGATGGCTGGGATGTGGAGTAGACATAATGCAGAACATTTAATGATATGGTTGGCTTGCTACATGGTATTGCAGGCAGACAAATGGTGACCTCTTTGGGGGCATGGCCTTCAACTAAGTGGATAATTGATAGATAACGTCAGTTTAAAAGCTATTGAGGCTAGGGACAGTGGGATTACTTGAGGGAGGCTATGAGGGGGAGGGGGACATGGCTTGTCCACATAGGATGTAAACACCTGTTGGAAAGAGAGTGGAGTATCATGTACCATGATGATGGGGAGGGGATGATAGGGATGGTTGGTAGCAACATTGTTAATGAGATTGGATTGGTGTTTTGAGTTGTTGTTGGTTGAACTGTGATCATACCTACCTGGATAGAACACCAAGTAGAACGTAGAAGGACTAAGAAGCCTTGCTCTCTGGTTTTCTATGTCTCTCCAGGATTTGTAAGTTGGGCTGTTTCCTCAAAAGAGATGGTTTCACAGCTTTTTTAACTGCCCAATGGTATTGAGATGGTTAATGATTAGTTAAAGGAAAAAGTTAAACTACCTTTATGTCTGGGAATTGAAAAAAGAAATAAAACAAACTTTTCCTACTGGTTTGTATCAAAGAAACAATATTGGAACTGTCTGCTTTGTAATGAATTGGTCAAACTACCTCGGTGTCTGGAATAGATTGTTCAATGGCCCATTTGACCTATTGTCAGGTATTTTTGGTTTCATGGCGAGACTGGAACAATACAGGGAATGGTTTCGGTCCAACCATTTAGTTTATTAACCTCGATTGGCTTCAAAAATGGATAAGTGGCAATTGGACGTTCCATTGATTTATACCTAGTATCTTAGCCTAGATTAGCATTGGTGGTGGAAAACACATGCAAGCCGTCTTGATCCAAGTTGAAAATGGGTGCTGAGGAAATTTAAACGTAAAGGAAGTTCTCCCAATTGGACCATTAAACTTTGATGAATATCTATATTTCTGTTGTACAAATTTACTCATATTTCATGTGCAAAGATACATGAAGTGGTGGTAGTACGGTTTAGAAGACTGGTCTGATATTTCGTTGGGGCTCGAGAGGGAGGGTGAATACTAATTAGTAGAGTTTTACTTGTCGAGTTCTGAACTGGATGAGGGTGAATGCTCCTCATTGAATGAGCATTGGCCCCCTTAGGGCTTAGTTACATGTATTACTACGTAAAGTGACCTTATATTTCGTAAGATGCTGAAATACATAAATTCATTGATATGGTCACATAATTTCCCGAGGTGTTCCAAAAGGACATGTTATTTGTCTGGTACATGCGTGAAAGACCATTACTCTTGAGGACATTAAACAACACTACTCCTTTATGCCTATGGCCTATCTATAACCTGGGACCCTATACTTTATGTATTTGGTGCCAATTTGGTGCACAATAAAAGACTATAATGGAACAATGCATGTGCATTCGAAATTTGCATTTGAGGATACTGATGTTCACGCAATTGTAAGTTGATATTTTCAGTAGTTAAGGCCTTGTTAGGTAAAGAGAGAAACCATATGTTAGTTTGTCAAATGGCTCTATGAGCAGCTTCCATCGATAAATTATGGAGTGCACGTGAGGACCACCACTGAGACTATCGGGTTCCTTTACAAATGAGATGCTTTCTTGCTACAACATTCTGTTATATCAAGTTCTGTGGTGGCAGAATACCTTTTCCAAGATTTTTGGAAATCATTTGCACGTATATTCCTCTTAAATCTGTGTTTTGAGAACTCCAAATGTCTTGGAAAATTTAGTTTCAATCATTTTATTGAATACCTCAAAGGCAACATGTGGTTTCACAAATTTTTGAACGAAATTGATCAGAGCATGCTTGGAAAAAGTATCTATGAACACTGATACTATTGGACACCAGGCTTAGATGGACACCTCAGACATGTCAGTATGTAATATCAAGACAACCTCGTCTTGTTGCCACTTACAACTTAGGCAAACAGGAGCCATCGTGCTTCTCTATAATGCGATAAAAGGGTATGAAGTTTGAAGTTTGCATCTTATCCTAGGGCCTAATGGGTTTGGAACATTTACTGCGGCATGGAAGGAACAGTACTGAGGCGTGAGTGACTTCAGAAAGACTATGTGTTGATGCTAGTGACCCAACATGAAACTATCTCCCCCAATTTCCTAGTCAATCTCCAAGATTTCAGTCAAAAGTAAGATCATAATTGGTATAAATCATTTGACAAATGAAATAATGCGTTTGATTCCTAGTAAGGCTCGTCAAACGCATTCCATAGTCCATATTATTGCAATCTGGCATGGATTTCTGATTTATATACTTTAAAAACTTGATTCCAAATATGTTAGAATCTCGATTCGAAACAACAAGATATCTATGTTCCACATATGTCAGAAACTCGATTCTATAGATGTCGGAAACTCGATTCCACATGTTAAAGAATCTTGACTCCTGGAGTATCGATTCTAGGGGGATGAAAATTCTGATTCCAAGGAGGGCAAAATCTTGATTCCATAGGTGGATGAAACTTGGATCTATTTCGGTCGAAACACGATTCTCAAAAACTAGGAATCTCGTTCCTAGCGATTCTTATTGTATGGACAACGATTCCTAAGACAGGAATCTTTTAGCCGGCCGCGATTCCTCCGTGATTCCGGTTCCTAAAACTATTCGAGCTCCCATGCATTTCCAACAACTATGCTTCAAACACCTCTTAATGTGGATTTGTAATCACCATCTTGTGTCCAAGCATTTGAGAAAAGAAATACTTGTTGATGGCATTCCTCTACCATGTCAATGGTCACAGCCTCCAACGAAGGGGCAAGAAACTAGAGCTAACTTACCAACTGAAATTTGGGAGTTAATCCTGGAGAATACCTGGAGGCTGGAGCTAACTTGCCAACTGGAGATTCAAGAGATGACCCTAGAGAATGCCAATCTGGTTCTTCAGTTAGAAAGTGGGGCATTTTTGATGATAGATGTTTCAGGGGAAATACGGATGCTCTAATCTGTTCAACATAGACCAAACTCCTCTAATTCAAACAATCTATTTAATATCAAGGATCAGGTTTTTGGGGGACATGTTTTATCGCGTTATGAGAGCGCTCTCTCAAAGGGTCACATGGATGAAGAAATTTCCTAAATTGGCCTCTATCCTTGCTTAAACCTCAAGCATGATGAGTCCCTATCCTAGCCCATGTGGGAAAACACACGTGAGTTGCCTCGGACTCAGGATCGTTTGGGATTGGCAGGCTGCTGAGCACTGAACAGGGTAGATGTCAATACCATACCTTGTGCAGCAGTCGGGCAAGAACTGTAGCGAGTCGCTTGAGTACTGTGAAACTTGGGTGGTCTCACTCAAGTTTTATAGTACTCGGGTGGATCTGCCCTGGTATTACAGTACACAGGCGGGTACCATGCATGACTAGGCTTGAAAAGCCATTTTCTACATTTTGTAGATTCTTAAGCTTAGAGTGCTATTTGATTCCAAATGTGGTCTATGGACTGATTTTTTCTAGATATATCCACTAGATAGATAATTTTTGCTTGATCTATCCACTAGACAGACCAGATTTGAGATTAACAAAAAAAAATCAAATTCTATGGATTTGAGAGATCAAAGATTTTTTCCCTTTGTAAAAATTTGATATTTATTTGCATCGAATAGTCTTTAATGAAATTTGTTCCCCAATCCTATATTTGGGTTCTTCATGCAACTATAGACTTGTTTCTCAACAAAATCCAAAAAAATTGAATTCACATATTTCAAATTTGGATTTACTATTCATCCGAATATTTCAAATGCTTGGGTCACCTAGATCCAAACTTGAAACCCAAATCTTGCTAAGGATATTTTTTACAAGGATTTGATGCATCGATTCACATTGGGACGATTTGGTGATTGGCCTTGAAATTTTGGCTAAATTATAAGTTTTTTCAATTTAAATTCATAACATTCATTTTCCACTAAATCGATTACAATTAATTTATAATTAATTTTCTATAAACTTTTTATGTGTTTATGATTTTGATATTTTTGATATTTTTGTGCTTTTCTCAATTTTTTCAGATATATCTTTTTTGTCAAGGCAATAGTGATTTTGATTTTGTTTTATTTTTAGAATTTTTAGATTGTTTGCAATTTTTACTAATTTTTTTTCTCATTTTTTCATTTTTTGTCCCCTTTTATGACTCTGCATGGCTGCTTGCCCATGGGGCGAGTTATTGACCCGAGAAGTGTAATCTTTCATTGGGTCCTAGATATTGAGCCTTATTTTACTGAACATATTATCAACATTTTATCGGGGTATCTATTAGTGAGGTTTTGAGCAAGACACTATCCATTTTTCCAAGAAGCCAAGTAACCGGCATTGAGTTTTTGTATGCAGTTTCAGTTGATATTCAACTTACTCCATGCTCCACTCCACTGAAGTGGTTGTAGTACCTTCTTCAAAGCCATAATCATGTGTTTGAGCCCCAGTTGATTGGGAAAGTTTCACTTGAACTTTTGATTTTGTCCTTCAATGATGTGAGCAAATCAAACTAAAATGATGTTTCTTGTCACACAAAACGAGTTTAAATCAAGGACAAAGCCTGAAAATGGTACTTTTTTATGTATATGATAACCTAGGGAGCAAACAAAGGAACTCTTGAAAGTGAGCTCAAAT